GCTGGCACTCAACACAGCTTTCAGTGTAAGCTAAACCAATATCCTTTATGACTCTCTCATGGCAGTTGGTCAGGTCTTTGGACTTTCTCACAGCAATCTGATGGGTCTTTACATCCTCACTGATCATGTAGTGGGTCTTGCAGACTCCCTGAGGTCCAGCCTTTGAGAATGAAATAGCTTTAGCTAAGATTTCGGGTCAGAACAGAATTTTAATACCACTGGTAAAAAATATCACTCATGTTTAGGCTCTTACCTCATGCATCTCATACACATTCTGTGTGTTCTTGAGGTTGAGCTGAAAGATGTTGAGGATACCTCTGTGCAGATTCAGGACAGTAGCAGAGACTCCAGCAGGGGCAAATATCTTACCTACCACACCACTGGCATACTCAAATTTGATGGGAATCACAAGCTGAGCATTTAGTGCTGAGGTGAGCTTTGCAGCAGGATTGAAAGCATCCTGGGGCCAGACGCCAGTGTACTCAAAGAGTTGAGGATCCTGGAGCTATGGGTTAAACAAAATTGCAACATTTAGTTCAGGTTAAAGACTGCCTGTCTTGGTAACACCATCCATGCAAGAAAGAATGAGTTTACCTTCATGAGGAAGGTATTTTGGGCTACAGCACTGATGAGAACCTTGCTGCTGACTTTGACACCAGCCTTGGCCAGACCCTCCTGAGGCAGACCGCCCAAGAGCAAACCCTCATACTTGTATACAAAGCTCTTACCCGCAGAAAACTCTGGAACTGATGAAATATTTCACAGTAAATTTCTCTGAAATAACGGAACAATGTGTCCTTATTATTTTAATGCATTCTTAGAAACATTACTTACCAAGGTTACTCTGATGACTTGCTAAATGAAAATAGGAATAAACATGTTATACTTAATATAATCTTATTCTGAAATGGTTAAATGCTGCAATATCTTTATAGGTTTTTGAATTTATTTATTTTTGGGAAATTAAACCATTGAAATAATGACTTACCCACAAGGGCCAGAGTCAAGGCAAGCACTACAGCTCTCATGGCTGGTGGTTTGTAATGAATCCACCAAGAACCCATGTTTTTATTGTATGAAATTTGCTGATTAAGTGTTACCTTAAGCAGATTATTAACTAGTTTTGATGTACTGATTCGACAGCTGATACAAAATAATCATTCCAGGTCAGGTTACCTTACCCTTCTGTCATGTTAAGGCAGAGCCAATGTCCACAAGTAAGTTCCAGTACTTTTTTTTTTTTTTTAATCATTCCTTTTATTTATTTTTGTTAAATATATATATATATATATATATATATATATATATATATATATATATATATATATATATATATATATATATATATATATATTCCAATCAATTATAGTGAATGTTTACTTGACTTAACTTAAAACATCTTTAGAGTAATTTGTGTAATTCTCAGCTTCAATCAGCTTATTTAGTTTTCCTGGTGGGTCAGTAACAAACTAA